AAAAAGAGAGAAAAGTTATCTACTGTCACGCTTGCTGTGTGTTAATAAACAAGGAACTCTTGTTCCAGAAGTCTTCTGGATTGGTGTTGACGGAGGCGGGCGCCGTAAACGGTGGCTGCGAACCTTGTTAACTTTTTTTATTTCAGGACAAAACTTCTTGAGAGGGTACCTTTGGAGTCCGGAAAGCGTTTTGTTGTGCAGGTACCAGAAACACACACACAATAGCAAACCCTGTCCTGTGAAGGAAAAAAAAAACACAAAACTCTTGAGGGTTTCTTTGCAGTCCGGAAAGCCTTTGCTGTGGAGGTACCAGAAATACACAATAGCAAACCCTGTCCTGTGAAGGACGCAGAAGCAGCAACACGACCCCCGAGGTCAATTTTTTGCAGCAACGCACGATGCAAACGCAGCCAGGAGAGTTTTATCCGAGAGCGTCCGGAGCTGGGGTGTAGTCGGTTCCCGAAGAGGGTCGTCGTAGCCCGGTGGGCTGGGCTCTCGGGGGGCACAGAAAACAAGGCACTCTGCGGAAAGAGCTGCCGAGAAGTGGGTGTGCGCTTGGGTGTAGCCCACGGACTTGGGAGAGAGAGAAAACCAGGCCCGGAGGTGGCCGGGCACAGCTGGCAAGGGAGGGCACTAGAGCTGCAACCCCTTCAGTTCTTGCAACTGTGCAACAGTTCTCTCTCTCTCTCCTTCCTCCTCTGGAAATTAAAGCGATCATCTCCATCACTGGACTGGAGAGTCCAAACCGGCACCGAGGGCAGGAGGCCAAGGCAGCCCTCGGTTGTGCCCTGCACACTCGGGACATTCCCTGCTAGCAGTGCCTGCGAGCCCCCCCAGGGCAGTTCCGTTTTGGAGCTGGGCCTCCCGGTGAACTCCGTGGAGAGCTTCAGAACGCAAGTGGCAAGGCACAGAACTGGGGGGTTCCCCCCCCCAAGAAGCACCAGCCCTCCCACACACACATACCACCCATGGAGCCCCTTCCACCACCCGCAGCGGAGACCCCTGGAATTGCAGGGGTTGGGGAGCCCATCGCCCTCGCGAGGTCCCGGGGGCCTCTCCCATCTCCGAGCGAGGCCGGCCAGCGACAGAGCAGGGGCGCTGAAATCGTGCACACGCAAACAGCACCCCCCCGGGCACCGAAGAGCTCCCGGGAGCCCCTTCTTGACTTTGAGCCGGCAGGGGCCGAGGTGGGGGGGTCCGGTCACCAGTCCAAGTTCTGGCTTCGGCTTGAAAATCTCACGCTGTTCTCGCTGTAGAACTGGGCGTACCACCGGCGGTGCCTCTGGATGGCCGCGTCCTCTTTCACCAGCAATGGCCTGGAGCTGTATTTCTTGTTATTCCAGATCATGACGTCCCGCTCGAACTGAAGAGGGGAGCAAATAGATAAAACGGGGAGGCGGGAGTTAGGGGCGTCGGGCGTGCCACACTCTTAAAGAGAGGATCGCGCCCCCACCCTGCTCGGGAGAGAGAGATAGAAGCGACGCGTCGAAGCCGTCCACCTTCCGGCCATCATAAAGTCTGGCGAGAGAAACTTGTCCATTCTTGTTTTTAAAAAAGCCAAGCGGGGAGAGGTAGAAATCGGTGGTTGTCCTAGAAAGCGTAACCTCAACATGTTTGGCCTCCGAGGGCTCCTTTGGGTAAAAAATGGGCACCACCTCGCCCAAGAAATCTGGGTTTCCCACGCAGGGGGGAGTGGGAGGGTGGCAGGGAGACTGGCAATGTGCATGCCCCATTTAGGATTGGCTGGGCAGTGCAGGATGGTACCCACCGCCGTCTTCTCCTCCTTTTCCTGCTGGTCTCTCTCACAAAGAGCCAGGCAGGGCCTGCATGCCTGGGTGTGCAGGTTCGCACGCATACACACACACACCCCGAGTCTCCTCCCTCCCCTCCCCGCTTACCTGGGTGCATTCTGCCCACAACATGAACTTGGGGATGAAAGCAGGGATGTTGCGCTGATAGTACAGCCGGTGGACCACGTGCTGCAGGAGGGGCTCCACGGGCGTCACCATCTGGATGATCATCCCCCGGCCCAGAAAGTGATGCTGGAAAGTCATGAACACCAGACCAGGTCCCACCTGGGGAAGGGGGGGGAAGAGACCCAGGAAACCACTGGTGAGTGAAGGGCAGGGGGCTGCCCCCTTTCATGAGAGCCCCCTTCCCCCCGGTTCGGAGGCAGGCAGGCTCCTAACGCCTTGAGAATCCCAGCCGGCGGTGCCTTCTTCCTCCTCCCTCCTGAGGCCTTTGCCTTTCTAGAGGCGGCACCGGCCCAATTCCTCCCTGGACGACTGACCGCCCCTCTTTTCCCCCCCATATCCCCCCTGGGTCACTCAGCCGGAGGGCCATACCTGCCTGGCCACGACGGCCAGGTCCATCAAGGAGAGGGGCCAGCCAAACAGCGTGAAACGGTGGTTCAGGACCATGCGGGAACAGTGAGCGCTGGGTTCAGATTCAGGTTGCCATTCCGCCTGGGGGAGAAAAAAAGCAGCAGGGGAGGGGTGGGGGGGTCAGGCGAGCTCTTTGAATGCTTAGGCCCTGCCTGTGGGTCTCCTGCATCTGTATCTGAGACCCACACTCGAAACAATACTCAAGGCGAGGAAAACTGCCCTGTGACAAGCTGATGTCTTTTGCCATCTGAGAGAGCACCACTTCTCAGTACGTGCTAAGCGTGGCTGCCTTGGCCAAACTCCCCCCCAAAAAAGTCTCGTTCACTTTCGGCCAACGTTTGTTTCCTACCCACCCTTGAACCCCTGGAAGCGAACCGGGTTCTGATGCCTCTGGCCCGCCACGAGCCTGGGAGGGGGGTCGTAAGCCAAGGAAGGGGAGACGCCAGGGAGCAGCGACCTACCCACCCCTCACCACCTGTGGGATGCTTGGCGCCAGACTCGAGAAGGCCGCTACCTGCCAGTGGTGCTTAGTGAACGTCCAGCAACGGGAACTGGTGTGTCGAAGGTCTGCTCCATCCAGGACGGAGGGGCCGTGGAGGATCGTAAGATGGGCCGTGTCGGCTGCGTTCTCTGGGATTTCCTGGCAAGGAGGGAACAGACGGGGTGCGTCAGGCCAGGCCAGAACACCCCACGAGGTTCCGGTGCCCCAGTGCAGGAGGGACCCTCCGAAAAAAACGAATGCACTCAAGGCGCGGCTCCTGCCAGCCTGCATCTCCGTAGCCTGCCGTGGTTCCCTGCCTTGCAGAAGTGTGGGCGACCCACGCTCCCCCTCTGGAGTCAGCTAGGCGACGGCTTGGGGGGGAGACACGTTCCTGACGGCTTCCCCACTCCAACCCATGGAGGCGCCGAGAGCGGGGGGTCTGGGCAGAGCCAGCGAGAGGGACCCTCCCCTCACCCCCCCTGCCGATACCTCTATGTGCGCGTTGATGAAGTGCTCCGTGCAGCCACGGAAGACCCACTCGCGGGACAGCAGCTCCTCTTGCTCGGGGACCTCCCACGTCGGGGCGAGGCCGTCACAGTGGTACCAGACAAGGATCATGCCGCTCACCTCCCGAGAGGGCCAGACTTTGACCTTGGCAAAGGCGGGCACTGGAAGAGAGGAAAGTGTGGGGGGGGTCAGAGCCACAGAGAAGACCGCTTGCCCTTGAGACACGAGGGTGGTGGTGGGGGGAGAGATGTGCCCTGGTCATTGATTTTATTGGATCTGTTTCCCGGCTTAGTTCTTTAGCCACTGAGAAAGAGGTAGTTTCCGAACCCAAGCAGTGGCCCTGCCGGAAGAAAGAGGGCTCTGAAATTAATTGTACAATGGTGCCTCGCTAGACGATGATAATCCATTCTACTGAAATCACTGTTTAGCGAAATCATCGTCTAGCGAAAAGCATTTCCCCATTGGAATGCATTGAAACCTGTTTAATGCGTTCCAATGGGGAAGAATCGTCGCTGTCTAGTGAAGATCGGCCATAGGAAAGCCGCTTTGCGAACTGCCGATCAGCTGTTTACATCGCTGTCTTGCGAAGCTTAGGTCCCGAAAACACCCGTTTTGCGAGCGCAGAGGGAGCTGTCAAAATCGTCGTCTAGCGAAAATCGGTTTGCGAAGCAGGGACCAAACATTGTCCAGCGACAGCCAAACCGTCACTCTGGGCCACGTGCCCAAGCTCCCACGTGAAGACCACGTCCAGAGGGACTTGGGGCGGGCGGGGGGCAGCCAGAGAGTCTGAAGGCTCTGGAGGGCTATGCCAACCCGGTCACCTTTTTCAGCGTAGGGCACCCGGGTGCACCGGCCGTCCTCCCCGTGGAACTGCCAGCCGTGGAAGGGGCATTCTATGCAGCTGCCCACCACGCGGCCCCCCACGGCCAGGTTGGCCCCCAGATGAGGGCAGTAGGCGTCCACCACGTGGGCTTTTCCGTCGGCGTCCCGAAAGACGGCGAACTGCTCCCCTGCAGGGCGAAGGAGAAGAAGAATTAGTGAAAGAATTAGGACCCCCCTGAATCCTAACGGGGTTCTTCAGCCAACAAGGGCATCGCCCGGAGAAGCCGCTCGGAAGGGTGCAAGCGCTAAGCGGGCGGAACGGACGCACAAGGTCTCGCCATGCAAGAAAAAGAAATCAAAATGACCCTGAGACAAGAGGAGGGGGTTCAACCCGGCCTTTGAAAACTGGCAAATGCAAGGAGACGCTCTTTGAGACGCCGACGGCGAGGCGAAACCCAACCTCTGCCACGTCCAGAGGTGCTCTGACGCTCCTCAAGGAGCCACGGCTGGGAAGCTGTCGAGCTGGGCAAGAAGCCAGTGCCCGGGAGGCAAGACGCTGGACCGGACCAGCGTGGGCTCCGTTCCAGGCCCCGCTTGGCCTGCTCTGACTCGTACCCTCGCCCTCCCTGCCACCACCAACTCTCCCCCACCCCACCCCAAAAAACCCACTGTTCTTCTTCCCAGGGAAGCTGGCAGGAGGGGGGCTGGACCCGGTTTCTCTGCCAGAGGTGCTCTGACGCTCCTCAAGGAGCCACGGCTGGGAAGCTGTCGAGATGGGCAAGAAGCCAGCACCCGGGAGGCAAGACGCTGGACCGGACCAGCGTGGGCTCCGTTCCAGGCCCCGCTTGGCCTGCTCTGACTCGTACCCTCGCCCTCCTTGCCACCACCAACTCTCCCCCACCCACCCCAAAAAAACCCCACTGTTCTTCTTCCCAGGGAAGCTGGTAGGAGGGGGGCTGGACCCGGTTTCTCTGCCCTTCCTCCTCCCTCGGCTGGCACCTCTGCCCCACTCTTCGTTCCGCTCTCTTCTCTAGGGCAAGATGGACCTTTCGCCTGGATAGGGATTCCGCCAGCCTCCACGAGATGGCGCCCCAGTCCCAGACAGACTCGGCTATGGGGCGGGAGGGAGGTAGGGGGGTTCTGGAGGCAGGCAGTGGGGGAGTCCCTTAGCCCCCTCCCCAGCCAAGAGGCAGGCGCGCCCCCCTTTTGCCTCTCCGTTTTTTCCAAAGGACCCGGAATGCTTTCGTTGGGAGCAAAATGGGTGTGAGAAATGTTAGCAGGAGATTTTTTTTAAAAGGTTGGCCAACCCAGCAAAGAAATGCAAAAGAAAACTGATCAAGAGGTCTTTCCAGCAAGGGCTTCAAGGCCCAACGTTTTGCTCCACGGTCTCCCAACCACCGTTGGGAGAACCGTCCCACGAGGCAGGAAGAGGGAGAGGGAAAGACGCGGTCCGGGATTCTGCCCTCTCTACTCAAGCGTAGGGGGGCTCTTCAGCCCCTTAGACTGGCATCTTGCCAGTCTTGTGAGCAGCCGCCCACCTCTACCTGGGCAGGCCGGTGGCCCAAGTATTTCAAAACTGCCCGTCAGCGCCTGCCTTCTAACGTGATATCGGGGGGCCGACTCTGGCTCTCCCTCTGGAGCCCCCCCAGGAAGGAAACTGAGCTTCACCGGGGCCAAGCGGGGGAGAAAGGACTTGTGAACGGCTCTCCATCAAGTGAGGCTCACCCAGTCCCCCGCCTGGGAGAGCGATGGAGGATCTTCACGGGGTGGGGGGGCAGGCTTCGTTTGAGGCAGCCCTGGAAGCTTCTCCTTTTGCAAAACCGTCCCCCCTAAACTGCCTGCTCAGACACGGAGGAGAGACTTGGAGCTTTGCAGGGTTGGGTTGACTAAGGAAGGCCAAGGGCGGCTGGGTGGGAGATTGATCGACGGCGTGCCAAAAGCGATTCCAGTCTCCCGGAATTGATGGAGAGGCCCGGCTCACTGGGAGACAAGCAAGGCGGTCGTACGGCCGAAGGCAGAGAGGAAGGCGCTGCTGCAACCCTGAGGGGCCTGCTCCCCCTTCGCAGGATGAAACCACCGGCTGGTTTCCCAGGGCGTCCCGTTCGCAGAGGAAACCGACGATCTGAGCCAGGCATCTTGGGAGATGCTGCTTCTCCCAACTCTGATTGGAGCCCGGCTGACCGGTGGCCAAGAAAGGGCTCCGCCGCTACGACTCCACACGCAACGGCATCATCCTTCACGTGCTCCCAGCCCTGCAGTATCCTGGACACAGGTGACCCTCGCTTCTGGCTCCTTTCCTTCTTTGCCCATGTCCCTAAAACACTGCAGGACCGCGAATTTCACTCGGAATTTTGCTGTTGGGATCATAGATCAGCCCAGGCAGAGATAAGGATTATATCATGTTTACATGTTTAGGTGCCATGTTTACAATCAAATCAAAACAAATGAGGTTACAAGGGAGGGTTATTTCCAGCTTCCTCGTTGCTCATTCTGTTAACACCAAATGACATGACCTTGGCTGTGATTTCACTGGTTGGGTCTTTCTAGATGGTGCTTTAAATGGAGAAAGGAGGAGACCTCTCAAATGGGCGCTCCAGTGGAACCGGTGGCCGTTTCCACCCCTGGGCGGCGGGCAAAAAGGAGGCCTTCCTCATCTCCCCCTTCGCCGTCAAGCATTTTGAGCAGCGCGCTGTGGCATGAAAGCCACAGTCCTCCTCTGCCTGCTTTACTGCCCCTCTTTTCTGCCCCTCCATCATGAATCCCCGAGAAAATCCACTCTGTTGTTCTGTTAGGGTTAGGAAAACGACGGGGGAAAGTCCTTCGTACGGCACACGTCGAGGCTCATGACGGCAAGCAGGCCGCGGCGTTGAGCCTCACCCGGGTCCCTTTGGTTTAGCCGGACGCCAGGCCGAGAAGCAGACTTCTCCACTGGACCGCTTGTCCTGATGCTCGGAGGATCAAAACCTCCCCCCTCCTGTGGCTGAAGCTATTTGGATCCTGTCCTGCCCTTGGTGGCCACCGAGAGCCAGCAACGGGAAGAGGCTGGCTCGGCTGAAGCTATCTGGATCCTGTCCTGCCCTTGGCGGCCACTGAGAGCCAGCAACGGGAAGAGGCTGGCTCGCCAGAGGCCTCATGCCCAGGCCCTTTCCACCTTTCTTCCTGGAAAGGCTTCTTCTCCACCCACCCCCTCTTTTTCTGGTCTTCCTGTCAACCCTTCCGACTCCCAACGCTTAAAGACAACGGCCCGGAGTGCCCAGAACTGAGCCGATCGGCTCTGGTCGAGGCAGAATGAAGCGGAACGAGGACATCTCATGACTCGCACAAATGGACCTTAAAACCACACTGGCCCTAAAACCACACTGGCCCCATTGAGAACTGGTCAGCGGCCCCACGCGTGACGTTCTTGCCCCCAAACTGGGCTAGCAAGCCTAACAGGGCCCCGTTCTGTACCTGCTCGGCAAAGGGAAACCTTGGCAAAGGGAAGCCCACTCTGGTCTCCCCCAAACAGCCCCAGAGCACCGCAGGGGGGAGATGTCGGGGGGGGGACTTCCCTCATCCTAGCCAGGTGGAAACCCTCCCCAAAGGCTTGGCCACGGAGTGCCAAACCGTCCTGGTGCCTTTGCCACCCTCTCCCCTCCCTTTGCCTTCAGGCTCGTCCCCTGCCAGGCTGTGCCCCCCCCCGTACCCACCCCGAGAACCCGTCGGAAAGGGCTCCCCTTGACCCTCCCTACGGAACGTGGCTCCAGCCTGGGATCCAGCCCCGGTTTCTTGTCCTGTCTCGGCCATTCAACGCGGTCCTATCCTCTCCGAACTGCCCTGCCGTTCCAGCCTTCTCCCACCTAGGATCCAGCCCTCATTTCTCGTCCTGTCTCGGCCATTCAACGCTGTCCTATCCTCTCCGAACTGCCCTGCCGTTTAAGTCAGGGGCGAAAGGGCCCAAAATCCCACAGATCCTCGGAAAAGGCTCCCGGGTGGCACACCCTGAGGTGCTTCTCCTGCTCAGACCCTGCTGGGTTTTCCAGCTGGAAAGGAACGGGCGGCCGGGCCGGCTTAACTGGCTTCCCTGCCTGACCCCAGCGGTTTTTCCACTGAACGCCCGCCCGCTTGCCCTCCTGCCTGCCCGCCCAGGCAAATAGGTTTGGCCCTGAGAAAGCAAATCCTTATCAACAGATCCCGGCTTAGCTCTCTCTCTCTCTCTCTCTCTTTCTTTCTGGCCTCCCTCTGCAGCCCTGCCATGTCCCAGCCAGGACCTGGGAGACCTGGATTCGAATCCGTGTTTGGCCGTGGAAATGCCAGCCAGGGTGGGGGTCGGTGAGAAGAGCAACGCTTCCCCACTTCTTCAGCCAGATACTTTGGAAGACCTTTGACAACACAACACAACACACACACAAACACCATGATCTTCCCAAGAAAGGCGCATGCCCCCCCCCACGGCTTCCTTTCCTGACACCCCCGGGGGTCCAAAACTCTGACTGCTTGCTCTGAACAAGTCAGCAAGGGAGAAGCGCCGCGCGCCGGGCTTCTTCCCCATCGTCGGGCGTCCCCTATTTGGTCCTCGTCCACCCCACCCCACCCTCGGGAAAGCGCCAGGAATCGGGAGCCAATCCTTGCATCAGCAAACAAGATCGGGCGCCCCGCCCGCCTTCCTGTCTCATGTCCCCGACCAGCTTTTCTTGCTCTGCCACCCTGGGCAAGGCAACTGGAGGAAGGGTCACCCGCAACCGCCGCCTCGCCTGGGGAGGGCAGCCGCCCGCCGGGAATAACCCCCCCCTCCTCCTCCAGCAATAAGGAAAAAGGAAGTGGGAGCCAGAGAAAGCAGAAAAGGGACCTGCCAGGTCCCCCCCACACACACACACTTCTTGAATGAATCAGGCCAATGCCATCAGACACCACCCCAGGGGGCTGCCCCCCCCAAGAGAGGCTCGGTCTCACTGGCAAGAGAGGATAGGGCCCCCTCTCCTCCAGAAGGGCAGGGTGCTTTCTCCAGGCCTGTGCTGGAGTTGAATGCTCAGAGTCATCATCTCTGCTTCTCTTCCAGGAGATTCGCACCTGCCTCTCTAAGACACGTGAAGATCCCCACGCTAGCCATGGCGTCAAGCGGCCAGAGCACCTTCTTCCCGCGGAAATGTCATGTGCCCCGGCCCTGGCTGAATTCTCAAGCTCCTCCTTGAATCTACAGGGGAGCAATGTAAGGGATCAACCCTTCTCTCTCTCCCCCCCCAAAGGGTCATCTTGCATGTTTTTTGGCTCAAGCTAGGAAGATTTTTGGAAAAATCATTGGCGCCACTCGATCGCTGGCCAGGGAAGTAGAGGTGAGCCGGTTCCATCTGTACATGGGGGGAGGGAAACACTTTTATGCCGGGAAAGGCCCCTTAAATTCCACTTCGGAGACCAAAATCTGGGCTGTTCCAGTAGCCCTAGGCCCCACCGCTGGGTACCATCTTGGGACGGAGCCGCCGGCCTCCGTTTCTGGATGGTTGCAACTGGCCCACAGACGCAGGGCTCCGAAATGCATGGCACAAAGAAAAACCGTCCAGACGCCGAGTGGGTTTATCAGCTCCCTGGAGACAGACGGAACATTCTTTCCATGCATAAAAAGTCTGGACGACCGTCCCTGAACAGGACTCGCACGCAACGTCTTTCGGACGGCGTCCCTTTCAAAACCGGCCTTCTGAGGTGCGAGAAGCAGCTGCCAAGAAAGGAGTCCCACCCTGTCCTTCTGCACAAATCCCTTCCCTGCTGGAAAGTACCAAGATCAAGTTCCACGCGCCAGCTACGGGGCAGGGGGTAGCTCAATAGTTTTTGCCAGTCTCACATCGCCCGGCAGAGGCCTCCCTGAGATGCTGCCTTTCCGGTTAAGGGGCATTCTGGCTGACACAGCGTGTCATGACTTCTCTCCAAAGGATCCTGATACCTGGAGGTGCAGGAGATCCACAGAGTATCCAGCCCTCACCTCCCACAGAACGACGGTGCCTCGAAAAGACCTTCGTTCTTGTAGCCCAGCCGAAGTGTTGCAAGTTTCCGCAGCTGTTCTGTCGGCGCCACCAAGACAGGTTGCAAACTGTGTTCAGAGTAGAGGCAGTCCAACGGCAGGAGGGGGAGGGTCTGGATGATGGTCAGCAGCCCCCCTCCAAAAAAAAAAACCTGGGAGGTCAGCAGAAACACCTGCTCCCCATTCAGACCACGAAAGGCTCCTGCACTGTCGCAACACAGCCGTGTGACTCCCAACGGAGATGTTGTTTAATAGTAGCCAACTTGGGTGTGTTTTGTGTACGCACTTTGCTAACGCAGAAAGCACACGCTCCGACAAGCTCCAGCAGCCGTCGCTGGCCGCCTTTGATCTCCCAGGGCATCTCCAGAGCCATTCCTGGAACTCCGCACTGGGGAAAAGAGTTGGCGGGTTTCGGCTGCGAAGGAAAAAGGGCGACAGGGGGAAAGCCGCGTCTGGAGGGCAGGCGGGCGTCTGCAGGGATTTCAAAGTCACCAAAAGGCACCTCTGCTGTATTTTCGGCAGCAAAAGATCCAGCAAAACAAACTAAAAGCCGTGGTTTTGTTCTTGAGTCATTCCATCGCATGCACGGCCTTCCTCGTCTCTTCCTAGTGTCATCGTCTTTTTCTAGTTTACAATAGGCCGTTGTTCGGGAAGAAAAAAGGCTGATGGCGGGGACGCCTTTCTCCAGCATGGGTGCACAAGAGAGCATCCGGGGTCAAGCGGGAATTTGAACCCAGCTCCCTGGAACGGTCGCCCCACACGCCATCCACTGCAGCACACCCGAGCAGACCCTCTGCTGAGACCCCTCGTCCCCTCCCCGGGACATGTCTCCCACAGGCAGGATGGAGGGATTCCCCACGGAGCCCCTTTCTACCGCCTCCGCCAGGAAAGGGGCCACAGCCGCGCTCCCAGGAGTGAAGGCATCGGTTGCCAGACGCAGACAGGCCCTCCCTGGAAAGGGAGACACGCTGGCTGGGAATGCCCTTCCTACCCCCCTTTTCTTGGCTGGGGCCCACAATGGAAAGAGGGCGAGGTGCCACGGAGGGCCCCCCGGCTCCCACCTGACGGGAAAGGGCCCCCACCCACGGAGAAACGGGCACAAAGTCCAGGGACCCCATTCCTCACCCCCACCCACCCACGCCCGGCAGGCCCTTGGAATCAATTCCTTGGCAGGAAATTAGCAAGGAAGGGACTCCCCGCCCGATCCCACAGGTCTACTCTAGTGGTGAGCACCACCTGCCTTGGGGGGGGCAGGAAACCGAGATGCCAACTCCCCAGGCACTCCGGGACCGAACCTTGGCCACTTTCACGCACAGACCACCCTGACCTTGCAGAGCGCACTCTGCACGCGCCCAGGGCCCCGCTTCCTCTCCCTTGCAGGCACGCCTCTCCCCAGCCAGCGGCGGCTGCCTCCGAGTGCAATGCACAGAGGGGGGCGCGCTCTGTACACGCCCCGGAACGCTCTGGCCCAGGCGGGCGCCCGGACCCCTTTCTCCCGCGCGTCTCCCTTCCACTTACCCAGGGCAGCCACGTTGCGCACCTCTCCGCGGGCCAGCTGCTCCGAGCCCAGGAGACGGAACCAGCCGTTGGGGAAGACCGGGGGCACCTCTCCCAGGCAGCGGGCCCGGCGCACCCGGCGGGCCACCTGAGCCCGG